GCATGGGCCGGCCCAACTACATTATAGGGCAGCGCAGACATCTGGGATTCTCACAAAATTGCAGGTACCGCGCCGTGGGAAACAGCGACCATGGCGATGCACGCAGCCAGTCCAAGGATCAGGTTACACAATCTTTTCTTTGATCAGTATGTACGCGCGTGCTCGTTGCAGTTGTTTTCATTGGCGCGGTGTGGCTGCTACCCACAATATTGTGAAACTCCCAGATGTCCGTGCTGGCCCATAGCAGGGATCCAGAGTGCATATATGATACAAAATATGTGTCAAATTCACATTGTTTACAATGTCATGTCAGATGAAGTGCCATATTTTACTGTCAAGTGTGAGATGCATAAACTTGGAAAAGGTTGAGAGATTTTCAATAGGAATTGGTCAACAATAAATGGGCCAGCCGAACTGCAGCACTACATTTTGGAGAGACGCTAAAGTTGGGGCGTACATGTAATGAATGATTAGTAATACATGTATTACTAATCATCTGATCGTGATTAATACCTGTGGCACTGACAATCGACTATCCTTGACATTCATGTTCTTTACAACTGCCATGCTTGCAATACCCATCACTGGCATCGGGCATGTCTGGCCATGCCCATGCTAGCGTTCGGCCATGTCGGCCCGAGCCTTGACATGAAGTTCAGGCCTAGGCCTAACATTACATTACAAAATCATACTGTCCGGCGTACATTTTTGAGTTCAACAGAATGTTTATTACTTACCCCTTAATGCTGCAGCACAATTTTGACGAGAAAATTTGAAAGAATATTCGCAGTTGATTAAGTGATCTTAAACTGAGTTAAAGTAAATTTATGACATTGGCAACGCTTCCCTCATGCATGCGTCAAAAGACCACACTATACTAGCACTCTGGGGAAAACAGGAAATATACTGGCGTCAAATGTCTTCTTCAACGTGTAGTTGGTGTCCGTGGTTCAGCTGAAACTGGGCTTGAGACGCCCTACATTTATGTGCCAAATTGACATTACAAATTGAAATCGAGATATTTCTATTTCACGATTAAAATAATGTTAACTTTGCACCTCTCTAAATAGAATATATCTGTTTTGGGATTATGTTAACTTTGCACGCCATATTAAAAAGTTCAGACGAAGTTCATTGGCCGGAGGTAGGCATGATTGTTAAGGGTGGGTGGGGATTGCCAGAAAGAGAAACTATTTCACCTCTGGTTTTCAAGGTAATCCCCTACCCCATTTCCATGGAGCCATCCGTCATTATCTTGCCAAGAGTGAAGAAAACTGTATAGCGAGGAAGGGTACTTCCTGAAGAGTATGGCACAAGCCTTGTACCTTTGTACTAAACTACTTTTTATGAGTTCAATAGCAACGTTATGGGGTTTTGAATGCAACCCAATAAGATCAGGGTACTTTTTGATGCAATTGAAACTTCTTCTTTTTAAATTAAATCTTTCTCAAAAAGCCGTCCGAACTGATTCAGACCTCTTTAAAACTTGCCCTGGGGTTTTAAGAACAAGTGATAAAATAAATGTTGAAAAAATCGAAGCTTTTCATTCGCCACCTTCTCATGCATTCTCCTCGCGACAACGATCCCAAACGAACTGTGCACGTACATGTTCGTGTGCGTCATACTGCGCATGCTTTGGGATGCCTCCATCATTTTCAGAGACAGGGATGTAGCTGCAGACAATTGATCTCCGTTAAAATGCAGATCAATGCGACAGACTGATAGAGGTTTTCCCCGGTTACTCCAGTTTCCTCCTGCCTCTAAAACTGGACCCTCTTAACTCCGTTATGTGATGCTGATAAAGGTTAGGAAAACAGTAGTTCTCAAGTTATTAGTTAGTGGCACACGGAATCCGCTCCGAGCAGGAACAAAAGAGGGCGTGTTTTGAAATGAAATTGACAGTCCTCTCTCTGGTGGTACTCACGCACCGCATCGGTGCGCAAGTTTATGCGCGTTTGACGTGGAGCACGCTGAGTAAGCGCAACGATTTTAGTCTAGAATGTGTGGTCTTCTAGCTCGTGCACGCCAAACGCTGAATAGAACCCGGTTGGAAAACTTAGAACTATCTATCTGTCTTTCTTTCTTTTGCCGGTGAGACACTGACTTCAGCTTAGGGCGGACGGTGTGTCTGAGTCCCATATGCGACGAAGCCCGCCAAGGCCGAGTGGCATACGGGACACAGCCGCACTACATTATTCCTTGATCCACAATCGCGAGTGTGATAACGAATTTATGTTTCAGCAAACTTGACGTGCAGTAAAGAATGTAAAGGGGCCTATGCGCTCTTTACTTAAAAAAAGACATAAGATATCAAACGGTGCACAGCCAAAACAGTGACACCGATGTACCACAATTCTGCAATGTTATCTAGCGGGGAGCATGGGAATTATTTGTGTTTTAACTTCTTTCCGTAACAATAACAATAGGGCATACACTAAGGGAGGAAAGTTTTAGAATTGTACGTGCAAATAAACACATGTGGCGATCAGTACGCCACTTGTGAATTTACAGTCATGCAGAATATCGACAAGAATATAAGATTAGATCAATGCTCTCTGAAATACAGTCATGCAGATGTGCGTTTATCAAAAAAGTCCAAACCGCGCATTACGCAGGGCCGGCTTATACCGTGCCGGGGGACGGAAAGGGTTTGCACGTGTGTTTGTACAACGGCTTGTGCGCCTATTCCATTCATTAAAAGGGGATGTGCGTGAGGAGGCTGTTTCATTTAAAGCTACAATCTCCAGGGTTTCTATTATCTACCAGGATTATTGAAGAACTTGTTCTATTTCCAATATGTACAAAAGCCAGATTATACAATTATATCACACTGTTTGTTGTCATGGAACGACCAATCAGAACTGAGAATTCAAAATTGCCTGAAGATAATTGGGCAAATAGCCTGATGAGTCATGAGGTGAAAAAAACAGCAACGGACTGCATGAAAGAGGCGTCGAGCGCTATGCACTGCGTTTCCAAAAAATGCATTTTTTTGTACAGGAACTGATGAGGGCAGACTGAGAATCTGAAATTGTTTACAGTAGTACAAAAATACAGAGGGTCAGTCACGTAATAGGACAAGGTTCCATCCCCGTTTCCAAAAATGGTCGTCCCGATATGCAGAAGTTAGCTGGCCCGGAGCCCGACGTCTGCGCAGTTTGATGCATACGAAGCGCACAATGTGGTTATGATCGCTGTTAAGTTGCAAGAATGAGGGGAGTAGCGAGTAAAAACCCCCAATTTCAAAAATTAGTTGTCATATATCCCTCAAACCACTGGGCAAAAGTTTCAGAGAGACGTAGGTTAGTTTTGACCTTCGTTACCTTCTTTATCCGTGTTTGCGCTTGCTAGAAAACTAAGAACTCAGTTGCTCGGCTCATATTCCTAAATCATATTTATTTGTGCTCTATTAATGCGGGATTGTTTCACACTTGTTTGTTTTGTCTTGTTCGTCATCTGTCCGTCCTATATGTTGGACTGTACGCCTTATCTTTGTCCATAGGTTTGGGGTACCAAGCATAAATGTTGTCATCCAGTTTATCAACTGTATAATTCTATTTTATGTAATGTTACCCAATTTAATGGCCAGATATATTTTATTCAGAACTTAAGTAATGTGACATGTTTGGTTACATTGTAAAGAATGACAGAATTGAAATAAATGTTTCATCATCATCAGTTATTCACCAGTTGGGGTGGCTTTTCCGGGGCAGATTTGAATGAGAAAGTTGATTTAAAAAGATAAATAAACATACCGTGATTAGCACTGATCTGATCTAATTGGGCTGCACTCCAAAACACACTGTTCACTAGAGGCTGCGCACACGGTGTTGTGCGTTGTAGGTCTCAGGGGGCATATCCGGCTGCATGCTTTTAAAAATAATATCCATCGGAAAAATCTACATTTTTGCCTTTTCAGTTTTGGAGGTATGAAAAATAACTCTTTGCACATTCGCATATTATGAAAAAAATGGGCTAAATAATTATAATTAATCAACTAAATCTTTAGCTCACGATTTGTCCAACATTAATCTCAAGTTGTTACCGTTTGTCCAATTTTTGAATTCGCCGCTTTACTTCACTGCAAACTTTACATTTTTTTGTGAATTTTTAATTAGCAGGCTTGTGTGTTTTATGGATACTCCCAATGACCAAACGCTGTCGCAATTGGTCGCGCCCACATCACCTGTACAGCCGTCACTTTCAACTGGCAGTCACCAAGTGTATGTCTCTAAAAAAATAAAGCGCAGGAAGACCACGAACAGACCGTTCATGTTATGTACCGCCCTCTATTGAAAATCCTCTGCGCCTATGATGCTGTTACGGTTTCGAGTCAACTCGGACCCAAACCAACTCGGACCCATACCAACTTGGACCCACGCCAACTCGGCCCCAGTACTAACCCGGACCCAAACCAACTCGAACCCGCAACCAACTCGGGCCCAATACTAACTCGGACTCACGACCAACTCGGACCCACCCTGAGTCAACTCGGACCCAACCCCAGGAGCGTGATTAACTTGTTGAAAAAATTTTTTTGGGTCCACTTTTACATTTTAGCATTTGGTAAATGACACTTTTGCACTGCGTGCTGCCGAGATTTAACGTCCTGTCTACTTGTAATGCAGGGTAACAGTGACACAGGCTTCCCAGAATTTTTCCGTTTTCGAGTTTGAACAGGCATGGTGGTTAAAAACCGTACAGGACTAGATTTGATATCAGTGATGTCTGGGAACAAGTGAGAAGTAACCGGCGAGCGTCGTATTTTTATGGAGGCACATTTCCTTTCAAGTCTCATTTGCCACTTGTAATCTGGAATCTTAATCAGGTATTAGCTTCCGAGGTACCGCCGTGATTAACCACAAAGACTGATTTTGTCACCTTCCATTCTTGAAACCCTAGATCGGGGAGTGGGAGCTTGGGGCAACCAATGGGAGCAGCTTTTGGAGTGTGATTGACAGTACCATGTCATTGACGCCCTTTCTCCGAAGTTTTTTGGCACTCCAGATCACCAGCAGTAATCGAATGAACTTTCACCAAACAGCCCCCAAAGTTTTTGTTTCAATAAAAAGCCACAGATAGGCCCTTCTGATGTACATAAGAGATGCTGCATACGTGCAACAGATACTGCAGATACACATCAATGTCACGAACAATGACCTTTAATAGTGTTTAATGGTGTTATCCCCACCTCACTTTTCAATTTTTTTTGGCGTGGCAAGTCTTACACTTCCACATTGCCCCATCCCCCCCAATACCGGCAAGATTTAGGCAGATGGAGGAATTCATCCCCACAGG